ACACACACACACACACACACACACACACACACACATACACACACACACGCACGCATACACACACAGGGCCTCGCCACGGTCAAAATGAAACAAACTACGGGCTGCGTACCCGTGCCCTCACGGTAAGTCAATAATTTTTATTTTTTATTTTTTTTTAATTAAACATCCCCAGCGGATGCTAGGAGTGTTGATGCCAGACCCAGAAATCGAAGCTCCGTTCAAGACAATAACATGTAGGGCCATCTTGGCAGACTGGAAAAGGAAGTCCCTAAGGGGTGGGGCCGAAGAGCGGGACTGAGATGGTTCAACGAAACGTGGGGAGCCAACGACAAGTTGCCCGTGATTGATGGCAGGAAAAAGGTGAAGTTCGAAGAGCGGTTAGTTAGCTAGGTGTACCAGTGCACTCGGTTTAAATTCTGCATTAGGAAGGCAGATGGGAATGGGGGAAAGAGAGGGCTAAATTGTTCCATTGGACTCGCAGTAGAGTCCATCCGTCATGTAGTTCAATCATGGCCAAGTTGTCCTTGGCTGCCCACGTTTCGTTGAACCATCTCAGTCCCGCTCTTCGGCCCGACCCCTTAGGGACCTTCCTTTTCCAGTCTGCCAAGATGGCTCTAAATGTCATTGCCTTGGACGGAGCTTCGATTTTTGGGTCTGGTATCACTTTTCCCTGGAACAACGTTCTGTTTCGTTATGTCCAAATAATCCAGAATCCGATTGCCCTGAAAGCCTGGGCAATGTACCCCCATCCCTTTTGGAGCTGGAGGTTTTCTGGGACGCCCCCTAGGAGGACCCATTCCCTGTTTCATTCCATTGTGTCTCCTAAGATGATATTCCAGTGTTTCGCCCACCAGTTCCAAACCTTGGATGAGGCGGGGCAGTCCCACCAAATATGGACTGTTGATTCAAACCTCCACAAACACCTCTTGCACTGTGAGTCTATGTCCAGGCCTCGCAACAGGAGCCAAACTGCTGATGGAGTAGGCAACAGGGAGGCTAACCATAAAATCGTTGTTACTCTTGTGATTGGTGTGTTTCCCAATTGAGCCCAACACGTCTTCAATGCCCATGCTATTTTCTCTTTCTCGGTTACATTGATCTGGCTCCAACGCTCCGTGGCTACCATAATCGGAGTTCGGGCCTTCATTTGCATCTCATAACCTACCTTCATAGTATACTCACCCAGTGGTAGGTTGTCCCCATGTAACCCTCTACCTCTCCAAGCCCACAGTTTTGGATCAGCTCTCAACAGCGAGATTGATACCTCTGTTGCCCAGAGCTCCACTGTCCAATTTCCTGCCTCATCCACCTTTTCGTTCACCCGTACTTCTGTTATCGAGCCTTGTGGGACTGTTACTCGTACTTTTGAATCTTCATCCAGTTGTCGTCGGGAGGCGAAGCCCTTTTGGTTTTTCTATTGTTGAAAGATCCTGCCTCCATTGATTGACAACTCCAGTAACTTCAGGTACTTTGTTTCACCCGCCGGTTGAACCAAGTTCCAAGTACCAGGTGGGTTTACACCTTTTGGACTTAGCAGCCTAACCCCTTCCAGTGGTAAGGCATTGATGATGGCTTGGCACTTGTCCCCCACTCCTCTGCAATTTTTCAGTGTCCACTTCAGTTCATTCTCTGAGTGTCATCTCCCTTCTATTGTGTTCCCTTTTATTGTGTTCCATAAATCCCTTAACCTCACCACTCCTTTGGACACCCAAACTCTCCCAAAGCTTCCTGTCGCTGTATCTGCCATAAACATATAGTCGTCTGCTTTCCTTATATGCTGGTTTTCAAAGATGATTTGAGACAACACTTCGTCTATTGCGGCGGGTTGCGATACCGTATCCGATTTGACTTCTTTCCAAGTTTGTAACACCACCGACCAGAATTCTGATGCAACTCTCCTTCTGAGGAAGGAATCTATCGATACACACACCCATACATCCTTCGCCATGGACAGTTCTCACTCCCTACCCAGGATCCTTTCACCTAACCGAATCCAATGTTCATCCCCTTGTGTGCAGATAGCCTTAAACACCTAATGTGTTAGCATTGCCTTTATCCTTCCCCCTGGCTCTGCAAGTCTCAATCCCCCCTGCGGTTTTGAGGCGCAGGCTAAGTCCTAGACTACTTTAGACATTACTCCTTCCTCCTCTTCTGCAAAACGGGGGTCAAAGGAAATGTGTTATTTTCCTCCTGATTACAGTCTGGGTTTTCTTGCCCACAGGCGTAACGTTCCTGAGGAACCATAGTAGCGCGAAGAGAGCTACGTTCACCACAAGGGCTCGACCAAGCAACGACAAATAGGGTGTTTTTCCCCGAATAGAAGTTATTTGCATTACTCTCTGTTGAATGATTTGATCTTGTTGAGTTTCGTTTGGCGACAAGGAGATCTATACTCCTAAGAATCGTT